GATTATTAATGGCATGTTCCGCTTGAAGAACCTAGGGCGCAAGGTCCGGAAGCTGTTGGAGATTTGCGAGACGTGTCAAAAGGTAAAACATCCGAACTGGAAGTACGACGTCGAGAGTAGGCCGCACCTGCCCGAGAGAAAGGGACAACTAGTCAGCGTCGACTTCTATGGGCCTGTCCCCCAAGGAAGAGGTGGAGTCCGATATTTATTTGTATGTTTGGACGTATTCACTAAATTCGTCAAATTGTATCCTCTGAAATCGGCCACGACTAAGGCGTGTCTGCGACGATTAAAAGATGATTACATCCCCCACGTCGTAAAGCCCGAAATGATTTTATCCGACCATGGCACACAATATACATCGAGTCGCTGGGTTAGAGGGTTAGAGGATTTAGGTATCCGAGCCCGATATTCACCTATCCGGAATCCTCAATCTAACCCCGCTGAAAGATACATGAGGGAGATAGGGAAGGCTTGCAGGATCTACTGCGAGAAGAACCACAGAAAATGGCCCGAGCTGATCCCGCACATAGAGGCCTGGCTCAACAAAACCACTTCGGACGCCACTGGCTTTACGCCGGATGAAATGATATATGGCGGGGAGGCGCCGCGGTTATTCGCTGACGTGCTACCAGCATCCCCCGAAGGAGAGGCGGAGCCCTTGACGCCAGAACAGAAAGAGATTCGGGCGTTCGCACGGCTAAAAAAACGCGCCGAAGAACGGATCAAGCGGAAGAAACGTGGCCAACGGAAATGGCAACCCGCCGTCGGCGAAGCAGTGCTGGTAGAGACCCATCACGTATCAGATGCGAACCAAGGAGTAACGCATAAGTTCATGCGACCCTACGAGGGACCTTTCTGGATTTCCCGGATCGTGTCGCCTTCCATTTTTGAGATTTCGGATGGGAAAGGAAAGGTAAAGGGCAATTTTAATAAGAGGTCGCTAAAGGAATTCAGGACCGCCAAGTCGACTAACTTAGCCTGAATATGAGGAAGTGATGCCCGCGGGCAAATCTTTAATACAGCCTTAGGGCAAAGTAGATCAAGTTTAACCTTTGACAAATCTGCAGAGTGTAAGATTGCCTGTAATGGGGCAGTTGGATAAATATCACGTAAGAAGTAAGGGAGTGGTACGATCTGAGGTAATGGGCTGTCTATGTGTTATCAAGCCAGATGAGTTAGTTTTGTCATAATTTCCTATGGTTACTTCTTGGTATAATTTGGATCCGTGCCCGGGTATTAAAAGAGGAACCACGGATGTCTGTATGTGAATATTGATTGTGTACGCCCTGAGGAATGATTTCGCTGGGAGTCATTCAAGTATGAAAATTATGACGGACCGTGTGTATAAAGCGGTAAGAATGAATGTCAGGGTACAGTGTTGCACAAATATGTATAACTCTGGGTTGACAATTGGAGCAGTATCGTATTTGTGGTGATGTGGTTGCCTTGGATGTCAGTTGATAGCAGGGTGCTCACATATGTATCATGGTTGTAGTACTCTCCTGAGTAGAATCTCATATTGTGTATTGATTCATGTACGTACGTAGTAATAGTAGTAATAGTAGTAGTAGTAGTAGTAGTAGTAGTAGTAGTAGTAGTAGTAGTATGTAGTAACTAGCTTAGGTGAAGAAAAACCTAACATGTGGTCACTTTGTGCAAGGATGACAGTGTATTGTAAACAATTAATGTAATCCTCGGTCCGTACGGGAGAATGGCATTAAGCCTCGGTAGCGTCTTTCATCGGTTCGACTTGAACACACCGTGGCTTAATGGGGGGGAGTATTGTAACCGTACGTCCCTCGTCAAAATTATATAATTAAGGGTATGAACTATTTATGCATTGTTTAATACCGTGAGAGACGCTCCATCGGCGAGGTACCATCCCCGGACCGTCTAGTTGTAATTCCGCTATTGTCCTCCTTAGGCTAAGGGTGCCGCTGTTGTCCCTAACGCCGCCTGTGTGCTCCCAGTATATCATAAACCCATGAACTGACCGTGTGCAAGCCGGGCCAGGAGGGGTCTTGGATTACTTGAAGACCTACAGAGGTTTATGGGCATCTCGAAAAATACGAATGTAGGGCAGATGTTGGGCTCGACCCTTGGTTTTCCCTTTTTATTTTCTTGTTTTTCTGATGCCAACTGGGGGACTTGTAAAGAGGGGGAGTCGGTGACAGGGAGCGGAGGAGGACAGTAGTTGAATGGTAGAGAGAGAAGAGAGAAGTGTTTAAGAGCAGTGGTAGCTAGTCGGCGGACGGAGCGGCTAGCTAGGAGATTAATGTAAATATTCAGCATTAATGAAATGAGATTAAAACTGCAATCCACGGCGTGTTCTGGAGATCACGGATTTATTTACCCCGAAGTGTGTTCCACTCCCATCTCCAAAGCACCCGTATCCTGTGATTAAGAACTCAAGCTCGAGCGACAGTCGTGGCAGCTGTAAGTCGGCGGACGGCTACAACAGTAGTGACTATGGAAAGTAATGCTGTCTGGAATGTGTGTCAGATAATCCTGCAGAAGTTCAACATTTTGGAGGAATGCAATGTCTCCATGTTCAGGATCAGAAAGTAAGCCCAGAAACCAACAAGACCCTACCCAAATCTTTCTCTTACTCTTTTACACTGAGGGTGGAGGCAGTACCTTCCTCTGAAACAGTGGTGAACTTCTATCAGACTACACAGCATCACATCCCAGAAGACGGTAAGCACTGTTTATGTTATGTCTATGTATGGTCTGGTAAGTGTAAGTAAAATAATGAATCTAAGTCAATTCTGGAACACAGCTATGGCCATATTTCAATAAACAGCCATTAAGATTCACAAGAAGAGTTAGCACCAGCTAACACTGAAAAATATCCCAAGTAAAGCAGGCCCATGCAAGATGAGTGACCACCTACATGAATCAGTGAATAAGGGATGGGCCAAAAACTGGTCCTTACATGGTATTATCTATTATGTATCCCCTTCTTAGTTCACCTCCTTACAGTCCCATGCTTCAAAATAAGTGTAGTACTTCACTTACTGGGCATCTAAGTAGTTGTCTGGTTTGAGAAAATTAACTCCCTGGCAACAAAATTTTAAGAAGAAAGCAGTCTTCTGCGATTTGGCACCGTGTATATGTGGTGTTAACCGACGTTTCGGAGGAACGTATCGCCTCCATCTTCAGGGTAGAAGGAAAAGTATAAGAAATCTGCAAGCGAAGAGACCGTGAGAACCGGTAAAAGCAGACTGGTGTTGGAAATATAGACAGCTATGAGAGAGCAGTGAAGAAAGGGGGGAAGGGCAAGTATACAAGTGAAATCAGTAGTGTCGGAGGGGGGGGGGAAGGAGCTGGGACAAGCAGGGTATACCTGTATGCTTGCCCTTCCCCCCTTCCTTCTCTGCTCTCACATAGCTGTGTATATTTCCAGCACCAGTCTGCTTTTACCGGTTCTCACGGTCTCTTCGCTTGCGGATTTCTTATATTTTTCCTTCTACCCTGAAGATGGAGGCGATACCTTCCTCCGAAACGTCGGTTAACACCACATACACACGGTGCCAAATCCCAGAAGACTGCTTTCTTCATAGTCACTGCCGTGAAAGCCTCAAATCTTACAAAATTTTAAGATTTTGTCACCTGAGAATTACAGATGTACAGGTTGTAAGGTCGTTGCATTCTTGTTCTGGCACTTACTTTCACAGGTGGGGTTATGTACTAGTTCCAATTATAAAAGTGTCCTATCAGGTAACAGTCAGACATCTCAGCTGGTTCCTATTTAATTCTAATAGTTCCCGAATCCCTTCTGCACAGGGTCACTAAAGGAGGCCTGTTGTTACATGTCTGAATCATAGTATGGAGTCTCAATGTTCTTTATGATCTCTCTCTTCATCTGTTCCTGTGCCAGCCTTCTTGGGAACTCCTTCTGAGATGTAGAATCCTTGTTCAGGTCCTACAGATAGGCATTTAAATCCCATTCTTGCCAAGTGATCAACAGTCTCATTTCCCTCATGTGCCTGTGACCCAGCAGCAATATCAACTGAACCCTTTTCGTGTTCAACCAGTTTCATGAGGGATTTAGAATTGATATGGTAATTGTCAAGCACCTTGATTGTTGCTTTTCTGACAGAATACAGATGTTTTTATATTTTGGTTAGAAGGGTGACCACCTGATTGCAGCCACAATACCCTTACTAATCCGTTCCTTGACAAGACAGCTCCACCAGAGAGGGGGGATTGATGTGCATGTTACGTGCATGCGCATTTCATATGTTACACAGGATCACCCAAGAAGCAAGATTTGCATTCACTCACTGTGAGAACTTCACATCGGCACTAGATAGAGGTGAGTTGTCAGTGTCATGCTCTGGTTGCTTTAACCCTGGGAGAACCATCCCTAGTACTGAAGGAATAGGAGATTCAGTGGATCTGAAACCCAATATGGATGTGGTGGTAAAGAGAGAACTCCCCAACTTTACTGGAAATAAAATTCCAGTTTTCCAACCCAAAGGCACTCACTCTTCTGGTTGAGTTTGGCACAGCTCATCAATGTAATCTCCAAAATTTCTAAAGAAACTATAAAATATAATCTAAAAGGATGAATTGCCATATTCAAATATAAACAAACACAGCAGAAGTCAGCTTAAATAGCATTTGTTCCCCTCTTGGAAAAATGAAATGAACTGTTCTACTAAGATTAACAAACTTCATGGATCAGATTCTTTCTTCAGAATATCATAGTCACTCAGTTATTTTTTGGAATCCAAGGGTTCATTATTGTGTTATCAAGAGCCAGTCACTGGCCGCTGTCCTGAGCCACAACAATTCAGTCCACAACCCCCCCCCAAATTTCTGGAATATACATTTCAATATTACCCTCCAATCTATGCCAGTGCTTCTCCAAGGGCCTATTCACTTCCAATTTTCTGACCACAATAGATGCATTTCTCATCTCCCCCATGTGTTCTGCCAACATTATTTACTGAAATAAGAGCATTTATGAAATGTCTACCATATTTAATTACCTGGCAACAGCTTGTCCCCCTGGCCAATAGAAAGCCCAGAAAGGATCTTGGAAAGGGATGTTATCTGCATTTCCTGTCCAAAGCTCACATAGTGGAGTAATCAAGTGAAGCTTAATTTCTGGGGTCATATGATCAGTTGATATGACTGTATGTTGCTTAATGAGTCTTGCTGTGGTGAATCCACTCGCCAAACTCTGGATACTTAGTCTTCTCAAACTACAAACAGAAATCACATTTCAATGTATTTGCCTGTTTTCCCTTAGGTTATTTAATAATGAATTATCTTGAATGTTATGTAAGTTCAAATTAAATGACAATATAATTGTGTGCAGTTAACCTGTGAAGCAGTAATGGCTTATTTCAAAGTACTATCCCAGCATTCATCAGGAAGGCCTGAGTGAAATTAAAATAACGTATCCCGTATGAGATCTAAATCAGGTACTGAAAAAGCAAGAATTACTGATCTCAACTGCACTGCACAGGATCACCTTAACAACTGTGTGGCACTTCTGGCTGTAAGGGGTCTTTTGTTTTTAAAAATTATTCTGAACTAAAATGCATTTCAGGTGGATGTTATGGCGAGTGACAACACATTTGCTACTTATTCTGCCTTACACTGCTTCCTACCTTCTCTCACCTTAAACAGAAACTTCCCTGTATGAAAATCAAAGGTTCACTGCCATCATAAAAGGCCTGCCATTTAATTTCTCCATTTACAGCTCACAATCCAACATCCTGACTGTCTATCTGTTTCAGTGTCATCCTCCCATTATGCCTACGTCTTTATTGATCTTAGGTATTAACAATACTGTTTCACCTTCACAAGTTATATAGCATCTGTTAAGATGACAACCATGAATTGTGAGTGCACAAGACTTTGCAAGGATGTTACCATGGCCTATTTGAAATGTAATATGCCAAGAATCAGCTGAAGAGCCAAGAGGAATCTCAAGTCAGATTACCTGGTAACTCAGCAGAACTAAAACTGGCTACCTCCATAGTACAAACTAGAAATGTTACCACTGTGCCAATATGCTTGATGTCTAGATCTTCCCGACGGCCCATCAGCTGCTTCAACCAGAACTCTGCATTCATTTGTTCTCTCGTGCATCCTATGTTTCCCACATGCCTTTTTCCAGACCTTATCAGGAACTGGAATTTTATGACTGGATTTGAACGTTACAGGATACTAGAAGATATCTCTGTGTGGGCACATGTAACCATCACCATGTTGATACCTTTTCAAGAAAGTGACAGTGATGGACTAGTTAATCTGTGACATGATGGATGGTAAACATATCAAAACACGCCCCACACCAACAAAATCCTGGCCATCACTCAACAATGTAGGAATTCTTGGAAGTGATGTTCTCTGTTCAGTCATGAGTCGGAGTCAGTGGTTACCAGTCTACAGTCTTGAGCTGCATTGTTAGACACCACTACCAAGCAATGACAAGTGAAGACACAGAAGATGTAGTGTTTGCAGTAGTGATCTGTAGTGTAGATTAGTGAAAAATGTTATAATTATTTGTAGTTATGAGTTATAAGCATTCAATAAATCCAATTATCAATAGAAACCCTGTGTCTGACTCTTACACAACTCATGACTACACTTTCCAAATTTCTAGTATACACACTGCCGTTCTCAGTTATTCATGGGTTTACTAGATGTTGTTTTGTTATTCTCTTCACAAGGCTTCCAATAATGGGGATACCTCTGCCAGGCGGACAACTGTCTCACAACCACCCAAGACTCCGACTGGCTAACTGTAGGTTCAGTCCCTGATATAAAGCCACTGCCTAGCAACAGCCATCTCTTCTGGCTCCACAACTGGACATGTCACAATATCACAGGCTGTCATACTTCATGAAAGGATCTGTATTACTGCTGTTGCCTTCATTTCATTCAATATGATATCCAGCATGATCTCTATTTTTCTAGTATCCTTTGTATAATCATTTCTTTGCAGTTCATTGTAAAAGAAGTAAAAACTGAGTGACCAGCTATTTGCTTTGTCCCCTTTGCTCCAAGCAATAGAGCCACTGGTATGCATTAGGATACTTGCTGGACCCCCAAGCTGACCTGGATGTGGCAATGAACAAAAAAATACCTGCCTCTGCCAGGAATCAAGCCCCAGTTCTTCAGCTTGTACCCAGTTGCTTTACTGACTTATCCAGGCTGTCTTAGTAATGGATACAGTATTTTCAATTGAAAAAAAAATACTATATAAAATACAATAAATTATTTAATTTTCATTTCTTCAAAGTACATTGTGGAAAACAGTAACACTATATAAAATATACATTATTTCACTTATAAAATATGTATGAATTTCTTAGTAGCATGGGACATTATAGAGTAACAAGTCAATGGGACTGTACCTCAAGCTCTGAATATCCCCAAACATTCATATAGTACCAGAAAAATTGAACACAAATCTCATTTATTGTTAAACACTGCCTGTATCACATTAATTTCCGAGTACATTATTGTATGGCCTTAGAGCTGCTTGACTTAACCCAATCACATAAAATAGTACTCAGCTTGTTATATCTTGAGCTGCTATATTTCTTGAAAGGGCCTGTATCACAACCATTCTTTTTAAGTTCATTCAACATGATGTCCGATATATTCACTATTTTCTCCGATGTATAAAATCCTTTGATGTTTTCTTGTTCCTTCCATAATTCTTGCTTTTGGTAGATATGAAGGGCAGCATAAACTGCAGCTGCAGCTAACAAGGAAGGACGTTTCGTAGAGAAATTAATGTCCAAATACATAATATCAAGCAGGTAATTACATGTATAATACACCTCATCACTTCTCACACATAGCCTATAAAGATAATAGGACACAAAAGTTAGTGGATTCACAATATGGAGATTGAAATTTGAAAGCTTCAATAAGGTCAACTCCATATCACACATATCAACCTTATGAAAACTATATTCAGACAGACTACAGAAAGTAGAAATCCTGGGAACCTGATTTTTCATGTCACATTTTGCTGTGATCCATAATGCAGTGGAAGCAACCAGCTGAAGCTCTTGTGTCTTGACACCTTTTATACAAATGGCTGTGTCCAACAGACTGACTGCAGCGTGTAATGTCCATCCTGGCAGAGCAAGTCTGTGCTGAACACGGGTCAGCCAGTTTACTATGATGTCATGACTTACTGCATATTTACTTAAGATACTGTGAGAAACATGTTTCTCTTCCTCTATTTGCTGCAAGTAATCAATTATGTCACTGCTGTATTCAGAAACATACAGAAATGCATCCTGCAATGTTTCTGTTTTGGATGTGTCAGTGGTACAAAGATTTGCCTTATTCTTTTTAGAATTCCCTCCTTTGTTCTTCACACTTACATTCCTCACTAATAACCTTCTGGACTGTGACACATGTTCAGCGAGTTGATTCTCCTTTCCACACGCTATTGATGCGTAACTCTGTTTTGCACATATTGGTATGTTCTTGTCCCGAATGGCAAGCCTTGGTTGTGTTTCAAGTGTTCTCAAGACACATTTCAGTGACATACCTTGGTCAACATCCTCACAGAAAGAGGCCTTCAGCTGCTGCATATTTCTGTGGGCAAAAATAGGGCTACAAGATCATGTCATTACAGCAAACCACACCACCACCAATAATCGGTGATGTAATTATAGTGTTACGGGGGGCCTAGCTACTGCCCTGAAGAGAGGACAGCCCTTATTAATCCTCTCCAGTTCACTTCCAAGATGGATTTAATGCTAAATTTCATTCTACTGAATCCACTGTCACAGCAGCCTCATGCAAGAGAACTCCTGCCATCTGCTGGTTATCATGTGAACATTTTTGGATTTCTTCATTGGTGGAAAGCTTGGTACTTTATTGACAGTAATGACTATGAAACAAGGCAAAAGGTAAAGAAGAAAAGAGCAGGGAAAAAAAAAATTCTTTAGACCATAAGTAACATATAAATTTGGATTAGTAGGGAATAACAGATTTGTTTAAAAAATCAGGGTGACAAACGCACAGCACAGTAAATTCTGTAGACGTTCAGTAAAACACTAAGTCTACAGTTGTACCAAGCACTTGTACTGTAACAACATACCAGTACAAAAATTATTAACAATGGCTACAGTCTATTCATCTAATCACTGTGTGTGGTAACAGTTTTTGACAAGTAGTGAACATGTACAAATTCAAACATTTATTATACTGCCATAAGTGTCTAAACAATTAAAATTCCAAGGCTGGCTGTACTGTAGCCTGGGATAGCTCAGTTGGTACACCAATGGGCTATAGGCTGGGGTTCAATTCCTGGCAGGGGGAAGAGATTTTTCTCAACTCCAAAAGCATCCAGACTGGCTCTGGGACCCCAGCCAGCCTCCTATCAAATGAGAACTGGAGGCTCCTTCCCCAGGGGTAAAGAAGCTGAGGCGTGAAGCTGACCACTCACCTCCATACAGTGCCAAACTCTAGGTATACCTCCACTCCTCCATATGCATTCACAGCATAGTGTTCAATTTATTATGCACACAGACACCTTTACCTATAAATCACAGTCCAGTCAAGTATTTGAACATTTTAAAATATGTTAAAATACCAAAATAATACACAATTTTAAAACACTAATATCAGAGAACCACTTTATATGCATAATCGCCCACATCACTGAAACTTCAGAAAAGCGTTTCCACCTTCTGAACTTATAATTACTTATAATTTGACATGGCACTCATCACAATAATCACATCTTTCAAGCATTATTCATTAGAAGAGAAGAAATATAACTTCAACACAATCACTGATTGTGGTTTGTAGCAACAACTAACCTATTCACACACATTTTCATGCAGACATAGAAAACTGTTGTAATGGCTAAAAGATGTTATCTCAGGGTGTGAATCTGGGAGAACAATTACAGCAAGAAGAAAACAATTCTGTCATGGGTCAGCAAATATTGTTCTCACCAAGTTTTTCATGAAAATGAAAGGTTAGTTGTCTGAATCTTTGGTTAGTAATGTTCTTTTAAGTGTAGGGGTTGCACAACAACAAATGCGATAAGAAATGGAGCATCAACATTATTAAGTAGCGATAGCTTAAGGTACTAACCCAACATTCACCTAGAATTACTGAGGAAAACTATAAAGAACTGAAGTAAACTCCTTTTATCATCATGAGTCTGCAAATGTTATCCCTATTTCATGTTGTTCATGATGATAAAGTGTAAGAAAGATGCTTGGCTGTTTGACTGATTCATGTTTTAGTTGTTTAAGAGTGGTGTATCAGCTTTGGAAGTTATACATCACTGTATGTGTGGAAAATTGCCAGTGACTGTAAAGAACAGTAACGATTGTCATCTTGGTGCTGATACCTCGTGGAAGAATGATATGGGAGGATAATAGTGATCATAAGAAGTTTCATTATAATATTTGAGATAAACAAAATAACCTCCAGATTGCGTCACATGGAAGGCTTAATATTAACAATGTTAACCTTCAGGCACTACTGCAGAAAGGTTGTTATATACACAGCAATCCACATAATCAGTGCACACCAGACAGGCTTGAAATTTCTGGAGATTTGTAGGACTAATTACTCGTCTGCATATACATTAGGGAGGATGACAACATAAATATAAAATACTGTGACACTTTTGATTAATTTGGTTCATTTTTTGCCTTATACAAATTTCAATCAATATCAGTTTCGGTCAATTTCAGTTGCAAAATTTGTAGTGCAAATTGCAAAGTCTGATGTAAGACTAGTTTCCTTACACTTCCAAGAGTTTTGACAAGTTTGCCTGAATTTCAAATACCTTTAAAACATAGTACAATAACTGTATTTTGTGACAAGATCACACATTTATGAACTTCTCACACAGCAAATTTCCAGACCATGCATGCCTAAAATTATTTCAAATTAGATAATACAAAATCGTAAAACTTCGTAAGCAATACTGCAACAATACTGAATTTACCTGTTATACGGGCCACGCCATAGCTTAAGCGGTTAGTCACTGGCTTCCTACGGCGGTGGCCCGGGTTCGATCCCGGGTCTGGTCAAGTGGGATTTGTGGTGGACAAAGTGCCGATGGGGCAGGTTTTCTCCGAGTACTTTGGTTTCCCCTGCCAATCTTCATTCCACCAATTACTCCACAATCACCCTCACCTATCATCTGGGGCTGGTACAATAGGCCAGAAGTGGCTGCAGTACAAGGGACTTAGTCCCACCCCACTAGCAATAAAAAAAATACCTGTTATACATTTTCGAGATATTTAAGTTGGTTGTTTAATGACACTATAACATCGAGACCATATGGTGTCACACGATGGGGCTGATGAAGTGGACGAGATTTGGAAAGAAGTGGTCATGGCCTAATCAAGGTAAAGTCCTGACATTTTCTTGGTACTGGGGAATACCACAAAAAAACAACTTACAATAGCCAATGTCATTGCAGACATTCGAGCTAAGTACATCCAAATATAAGTATAAAGCATCACCCTTAGGCCAGCCTGTTTCATATACGAGACTGTATGTTATTTTTCGAAAATAAACTCAAGCTGATGCACTGTTGGTACAGCATGATCACCCATTCTCTCCTACAGAAGTGTGTAACTGGCATAAACTTAGTCAAAGAAAACAAATCAACGTCAAAGTGACGCTACGTACTACCATTACCAGTTAGGAAATCAATTTAGAGCATAACAAAAATTAAACAGGCCGATGGAAATTTAGCAACCATTGCCACGTCTAACCTCGCCATCCTAGACGTATTCCTTCCTTTGAAACGTACAATAAAGTAATCATTTAAGGAACAGTCTGTGTTTATAGCATAGTAAATATGCACTACTCCCAAAACGGACAAACTCCCTTCACATGGAGCCCCACAATCACAATCATCACAATCAACACAAATTTCACTGCAAACCAGTGTTTTCAACGTTCTCAACCCTTACAACCATCACAACGATCACAACGATCACAACTGAAACTAATTTTCGGAGAACATATGGTACGAAAATTCTAAACATTCATCGATCATTATAATCGATAACAATAACTACGAGTTTATACCCAAAAGGAGGTGATATGTTAGCATACCTTCTTACCGTTTGTGCTCTCGGCTCTGGCAGCCATTTTAGTATTTAGTTAATAACGAATGCGTAGAGATGGCAGGAGCATTGCACCGTTTGAAATTCAAATTCAAATTACCATTAAAATTTAAAATGTAAGAATTTGAAAATGAATTTCTTCTGTAAGATTTGAGGTTCTCACGGCGGTGACTATGACTTCTGGGATGTGGCGCCATGTAGAAATTGTGTTAACCGACGTTTCGGAGGAACGTATCGCCTCCATCTTCAGGGTAGAAGACAAGAAAAAATCCGCGAGCGAACCAGCAGAACGGGTGCAACAGACTGAATCCAGTCGAGTAAACACAGCTGTATAAGAGAAGGAGAGAAGGAATGTGGCTACATTGGGAAACAGCATTGAGGGGGAGGGGAAGGGTCTGGAGGAATGACCAGCAGGTAGTGGGCCAGAGCTGGTATAGAGTATGTGTTAGGGGGAGAGAAGGGAAGGTTAAATGGAGAGCATTAACCTCCGAAATACGGCAGACTCTATAGGCCACTCAGGTCCATCGCAGCCACCGAGCTACAGGGTTAATACCCTCCATTTAACCTTCCCTTCCGAAACCTTTCTAACAGAATACACAGCCATACCAGGATATTACACAACGCACAGTTATGCAGTCCAAAAACAAGAAGGAAGACCTAACGGAGGAGTCTCATGTATTTATAACAATAAAATAGGGGAAAAAATAGAGGAGTATAAAGAAGACAACATGGCACACATAACAACAACATACCTAGAAATAATACGTCTATATATCCCACCCCAAACCAACATAGAAGATGCAATAGAGAAGATAGCAAGTGCAATTAGTAGACTATACCACAAAAAACAGCCATACTCGCAGGGGATATAAACTGTAGAATTGATAAACCCAACAAAAAAAACCAAGAGGTTACGAAACTACTACAGGAAGAAGGATTCTGTCTAGCAAATAGAACAGATGTGATGACATACATAGCGCCGAATGGATGCAGCTGTATTGACCTCGTTTTCAAGAAAGGAAACGAGATAGAAATATAACAACAAACAATAAAAACATCATCAACTTCACCACTAAGGAAACACCTACCGATAAGCACAAGATTCAAATATGGGAGCAAAGAACAGCAAACGAAAACAGAAACAAGCACCCTGAAAAAACAAGAAGAATCGAAAAATGCATATTGGGAAAGCAAGAGGACATCATGCAAATAGTAGAACAAAACGAAATCGACGATGCCGCACGGAAGATGACTGAAATACTGCAGAAGGCTGCCCCAACAGCCAAAGAGAGGAAGGCCAAAATATGGTTCGATGCAGAATGTTACAATATGAGAAAAGCAACAATAAAGGCACTACACAGAGCAAGGCAAACTCAGAATAGCAACGAACTAAAAGAATATGCAGAAAAAAGAAAAAGATACAAAGCACTGATAAAAAGTAAGAAAACGGAACACATCGAAAATGAAGGGAAAATGATAGCCGAAGAAGCCGAGAAAGACCCGTTCGTGGCAACCAAAACAACGAAGAAACAAATGCCACAAGAAGTAAATATAAAGATATGGGAACAGCATTTCACCAAGATACTTAGCCAAAATACACCCACCAGCGGCTCCCGAACGGACGACGTCAGGGCATGTCAACCAATCTCACATGCAGAAGTATTAAAAGCTATAAAAAGAACACAAAACAAGAAAGCCGCAGGACCAGATGGGATATATTATGAACATATAAAAGAAGCAAAGGACATTATATCAAAACCACTAACGGGACTATACAACAGATGCCTCGAAACTGGATCCATACCACAAATTTGGAGAAAATCCCTGATGAAAGTACTGTACAAGGGAAAAGGAGACCCAGAAGACCCGAACAACTACCGAGGGGTAGCGTTAGAAAACACAATGTTCAAGATACTGACCAAAATCCTAACTGACCGTTTAACAACAACAGTAGACTCACTTATCCCGGAAAATCAATTTGGGTTTCGGCCACAAAGATCAACGATACAAGCCATCACAGCACTACTAGAAGCAATTGAAGAAGCATTAAGACACCCACGAGGAAAATACCATGTAGTTTTCATAGATTATAGCAAGGCATTCGACCTACTCGACAGGAGTATAATCACAACAAAACTGAAGGAAATAGTAGGAGAAGAGAACACAACAACAAGACTAATAGGAGACATCCTCAAAAACAATAAAATCATAATAAAAGACACGGTGTCAGAATCCGAAGAAATAACCCAAACAAATGGTTTACTGCAAGGGGACCCCCTCAGCCCATTACTATTCAATATTACAACAGCAGACTTGGCCAAAACAATGGAAAAACACACAGGGGTACAATTAATTATGTACGCCGATGATATGACAATTGGAGGAAAAAATATTGAGGAGCTACAGGAAGCCTCCACTACACTGGAGAACTGGGCAAGACAAAACAAACTTCAAATAAATAAAAACAAAACCCAACTAATGACTTTCAGAAAAGGAGGAAGAAAAGGAAAAAATGATGAAATAAAATTTAATGGAGAACACATAAAATCAGTAAAACAATATAAATACCTCGGCTTAACACTGCAGTCTACATCTACAACATTCACAGCACACATAACAGAAAAATGCACAGCAGCCATCAAAGCTATATACACCATCCGAAACCTGCAACTATTATCGCTAGAAAGAGCAACGAAAATATTCCATGCAAAAATTTGTCCCATACTACTATATGGCATAGAGATAACCTGGGAAAAACTATCCAAACAAAACCTGCGGAAAATGGAACAAGTGAAGGCAAGATACCTTAAACTAGCGCTAGGGCTTCCTAAGAACACACAATCCAGACTAACATACGAACTCTGCAAGGAAAATTTCCTATTAGAAGAACTCAGATATCAACTGCCAAGCACAAAAACCTCAGAGGAAGTTATCAAAGAAAGAAAACAAAAAAGAGAGGAAATATGGGAAGAGTTCTACAGCACTGATACAATGACTGACAAAACCTGGACAGGACCCAACCGAAAATTATGACACACAATTACTAGGTTGGCAACACACGGATTCCACCACAAGATATGCAAGAACGAACGTTTCCACGAAGCAAATGACGCGTGTGTGTGTAAACACTGTGATAAAAAGTGCAGTAGATACCACATTACCATATGCAAAAACTTGACCACATCAATAACCGAATACAGTTGCGAATAAAAAAAATTACTCTATGCACATTGTGCGCATTCCCTTATTATATACCAGCTCTGGCCCACTACCTGCTAGCTATTCCACCAACCCTTCCCTCCCCCTCACTATTTCCTTATGTAGCCACACACCTTCTCTCCTTCCCTTATACACCTGTGTTTACTCGACTGGATTCAGTCTGTTGCACCTACTCTGCTAGTTCACTCGCGGATTTCTTCTTGTCTTCTACCCTGAAGATGGAGGCGATACGTTCCTCCGAAACGTCGGTTAACACAATTTCTACATGGTGCCATATCCCAGAAGCCGGCTTTCTTGAATTTCTTCTGTTTGCTTTTGTCGTTGCGTAAATTGATGTATATTATGTAGTAGGGGGGCCTTCCAGAGCGTTAGCGTTGTTCTTCATAATTTCATTGTGTTCTGTAAGCAGATTATAGGCGTCATAAACATTTTTCACTTATTTCATTCTATAGGCGTAGCGCTCATAAAATTTCACGTGGTTCTAATTTACAATGCTGCCAACGCTGCCAACATTGGCGAATGCTCGTAGTCGCTCGTAGTGCTCGTAGTAATCCGTGGATGCATCCACGTGCTTACATATTGAGGACAAATGGTAGTTCACTGAGGTTTCTGCTGTTTGTTGCATTTAGGTAAGAACGGAGACCGTTATACATTTTTTATATTTTAGATTGCTGTTTTGAAATATAGTATGCAGCATTTGCACTTAGAACGCAATTGCTTTCCAGAAGGAAACTGTGCAGGGAAGCATTCCGTTATGTTTCTGCCACTAACACTATTCGTTTAGTGGGTGGTGATTATGATGATGGAGAATTTGGTGGAATGAAGATTGGCAGGGGAAACCGAAGTACTCTGAGAAAACCCGCCCCAGCGTCACCTTTGTTCACCACAAATCCCACTTGACCGAACCCGGCCCGCCCCGGTGGGAAGCCAGCGACTAACCACTTGAGCTATGGCGCGGCCGTTTAAGCCACTAACACTTGGTTTTGAATCAAGCCTGTTTATGCTTGTAATTGTGGTGTAATCAAACACTAGCAAGGTGATTAAATCTAGAAGCATACAGTGAACAAGTATAATATGGGAGAAACTGAAAATGTTAGAACATTTTGTTTTGGAATATTCAGTAGTAGTTCAGGTGGAAGAATGGAGGATCATCAGAGTTCAGAATTTGGGTTGTGGATTCTGTGTAAAATAACCGCTGGGCTGTCGTTCCTTATACTGCTTGTTAGAGGCAGGAAGTAGGGAGTAGGGTATTTCTTGACAAACTCAGCTGGTCAAGCCATGGAATCCAAAGGTTTGTTACAGTGTTAACAAGAATCTCTCCAGAGCCAGTTGAAAATTAGTTCCACACTGCCTCTTCTTTAAGAATAATTCTGACATCATCCTATCTGTATCTAGGTTTCCTAAGTTTCCCATTATGCTTTGTGACTAAGACTTTGTGCATGAATTTGCCCTATAGAGACTCTGGAGATTCCAGTATCCAGATCTCATGCCCTTTTTTATGTTGCATAGGTTGTGGCAAACAAATGTTTCCAAGTTGAAAATTTGCTATGATATTTTGTAACGTGCTGATTATACTGAGGGCTTGTTATCTGTCCTACCAGACTCCTAACTAGAGGACTACTTGTTGGCTGCATCAGATATGATACTGTTTCTTGGCAAAAACTGGTAGTCCTCGACCTAACTCCCAAACTTGAGGCATCCCTTGTCACCTGTCTTTAATTGCTTATTTAACTTCCCACTTACCATCATATCTGGAGGCCATCTCCAACAATCTGAGGCTGTACCATGACATGATGACAACATGTTTAACATGTATTGGTGTGCAGTCTTTGCACAGAGTGCATGAAAGGAACACACATAGGGATGGTCATATTTGTCTGTCTGTCCATTTGTTTAAAGCAAGAACTGCCAGACAGATTTTGATTAAATTTGATACGAACATTATGCCATTGGAGGCTACCACAAACTCAGTACTTTTCAGTGCCCTACAGTGTATAATAGCAGTATGGCAAAAGCATTCCTTCATTCATTCATTCATTTATTCATTTATTTTTCGTTCCATGGATCCACAATACAAGTGAGATATAGGACATGTCCGTACAGTGATTATTCTTAAAATTAATAGAGCAAGAACTAAGTACATAAATAAAAAAAGTATAAAATACAAATACAAAAACAGAAACAAATCAGAAACAAAACATGTAGAATCAAATAGATTCCAGTCATATAAGTTAATTTTAATGAAACATGCAGTTTAAATTTAGACAATGTCAGTTTGAACATATCACAGAAATTGCTTAAATGACTAAAATAATACTAATAAAAACAGGATGATCAACAGGTGATTCTGGTGAATGCATAATCATTAACTTATAATGATTTATATTGGAAATATTCTTCCATAGAATAAAAATGATGAAGATAAAGAAAACGCTTTAAATAAATTTTGAACTTCTTAGGGTTGAGTGACTCTTCTTTTATATAAGAAGGAAGATTATTATAAATTTTTATGCCCATATAATACTCTCCCTTTTGATATACCGTAAAATTTGCTATGGGTTGATAGAAATTTGTAATATGTCTTGTATTTATATTATGATTTAGTGAATTTGGAATAAAGAGACTTTTATTATTAACCACAAAGAGCATGAGTGAAAAAATATACTGTGAAGCCAAAGGCAAAATTTCCAATTTCCGAAAGAGATCTCTACATGAAACTCTACTATTACAGCCGATCATAATTCTAATTATCTTCTTCTGCATTCTAAATACTTTTATACTATGAGGCGAGACTCCCCAAAAGCAAAGACCATAGTTCATAACAGAGCCAAAATAAGAGTAGTAAATTGTTTTCAAAGTTTTTAGAGGCAAGTATGGTTTAATACTTCTCATCATATAACATGCTGAGGTAAGTTTTGGGATTATACATTCCACATGTGAACTCCAGTTGAGTGTATCCATTATGTTTATACCAAGAAACTTTATATTTGACACAGTGGTTACTGGACGATTGTTACAAACAATATCTACGTCGGTTGTGAGTTTATTTTTGGTTTTAAACTGCATACTATGAGTTTTATTAATATTTATTGAAAGCAAATTTGTCCTAAACCACTTATATAAATGATTAAAAACATTATTCATATTAATATGGAGATTTTCTGAATTTGAACCTTTAATTAATACGCTTGTATCGTCGGCAAACAAAATGGATATAGCATTGTTAATTACGATTTTGGGCAGATCGTTGATATAAATGAGAAACAGCAACGGGCCTAAAACCGAGCCTTGAGGAACACCATCAGTTATTTTTCCCCAAGAAGAATGGGTAGTTTGATTAGAATCTTTTTCACAAACTTGAATTCTCTGATATCTATTGTTAAGATATGATTCAAACCATTTTTTAGCTTTACCATTTATACCATAGAATTGCAGTTTAGACAATAAAATATCATGATTCAAACAATCAAATGCCTTCTCAAGGTCAAAGAATATACAACCTATTGGAAGTTTACTATTTAAAGCTTGCAAGGATTCATTAATTAATTTGTAAATGGCTTTAGTGGTTGAGGAATCCTCTCTAAACCCAAATTGTTCATCTACTAAAATATTATATTTCTTAAGATGATCCAGAAGTTGATCGTACAAGACCTTTTCAATTACTTTTGAAAATGAGCTTAAAATAGATATAGGTCTGTAGTTGGAAATAGTAGATTTATTTCCCTTCTTAAAAAGGGGCTTGACAACTGCATATTTCAAGCGATCCGGAAAGATTCCTAAAGATATCGATTTATTACAAATATGGGTTAGGGGCGAACTAATAAAAGGTGAACTAATTTTTAATAATTTGGTTGATATTTCATCATATCCAAATGAATCTTTAGTCGTAAGAGATTTTATTACCTTTTCAACTTCTTTGGAGGATAAGAACTTTAGGTTAATGTTTGGGAAGGGAGTCTTAAAAGACTGCAATAAATAATGCAAGGGAGTAATGTCATCTAATTTCTGAAATTTAGGGTCATTATGATCAATATTAATATTTGTAGCTATGGATAGAAAATATTTATTAAATTCATTGGCTATCACATGTTGGTTGGTGATTGAGATCCCATCAATATTTAAAGTTATAGCCTTATCGGCACTACTAGTTCTATTTGTTTCAAGTTTAATTATATCCCATATAGTTTTATTCTTATTCAGGGATTTATTGATTTTATAAGCGTAGTTTAGCTTTTTTGATTCTTTAATAACAGCTGATAAAATTTTACAATATTTGTTATAATAGTTTTTAAGATCCGGATTATTACCATCTCTACATGCTATGTAGAGTTCTCTTTTCCGTTTACAGGAAGTTGTAATTCCTAGGGTAACCCAATTTTTTTTATTCTTATTATTAGCACAAACACTCTTAAGAGGAAAGCTAGAATAAAAAATTTTCAAGTACGTGTCTAAAAATGAATTGAACATATCATTAACATTATCAGTAGAAAAAACAGTGTCCCAAGTCTCATGGCTTAATTTCAGAAGAAAGTCATTTATTGCAAGATCAGTAATTTTTCTCGTCATTCTACTTTTCTTAATAGATGGTCTAAAATTAAAAGAATGAAATATTACAACCTGAGCATCATGGTCAGATAATCCATTTATTATAGGTTTAACAGAATAATTACCTGCCTTAGTAATGTCAATGAAGAAGTTATCAATAGATGTAACTGATCCACGTTGCACGCGAGTAGGGAATTTTACCACACTTGTTAAATTGAAGGTTTGTAGGAGAGCTACAAGTTGTCTTTTCCTCTCACTATCAACTAGGAAGTTTATATTGAAGTCACCACAGATAACGAAATCCACTGTGACCTTAAATAATTTATTAAGAATTAAATCTAATTTATTCATAAAAATATCAAAATTTCCTGATGGTGATCTATATATAGTAATTATGCATATTTTTCTTGCATTCAGATGAATCATGATGGCACAGATTTCAATATCTCTATCCTGACAATATTTAGTATGATCAATATTAGTAAACTTGAACTTTTCTTGAACAAATATGCAAACACCTCCTTTTGCAAATAATGATCTACAATAATCAGCTCCTAAACTGTAATTATTAATTGAAGTTTGTTTTAGCTCTAAGTGGTTCATATGGTGTTCTGTGAAACACAGTAAATGAGGAAAATTTAAGTATAATTGGCTTAGGAGCTCGTCTGCTTTCCCTCTCAGTCCTCTTATGTTTTGATGATAAACAGTTAGAGGTACTATTCCTTTAACATGATGAAATGGATTATTTTGAGATTTAGTATTACTACTCTTAATATGTGGCACATTATTACTGTAACTATTGTTACATATTGTTTCCGTTAACTTACTTAAGTTGTCAGTAATTTTATCTACCCCATCAGTACTTACATCATTCGGGTTTACACTGTTGTAATTTACATTTACCATAAAAAATCACAGTTTCTAGAGGATGGAAGTTTTTTAGTCTGGTTGATTTACGAGTTGTTGAATTCTCTTGAGTGTCATAAATTTGACCTATTTGTTTTTCATAATCCACCTTTTGTAATTCGACTCTTCCCTTCGAAGCATTCTCCACACAATCAAAAACTGTCTCGCATAAAGAGTCATCACTTGTTACATTGTTTCCATGCTCGTAACGGAAAGCAGTTATCCCCGGATTAAAACAGTCAATTGTGGATACCAGTGTGGTATCATGCACACGATTATCACTAATTTCCACTAGCTGATTCTCATAGTCCACATTATTGGTGACTGAGGAAATATCATTCATGCTGACCTTATTTTGTGTAAGAATCTGGAAACTATTAAAACTATCATTCCTCCAAGGTAACGCTGTAAGTACAGGTGCTCTATAAGGTAGGAACAAATCTTTAATTACTCTCACTAAGTGATTTGCTATCCAACTTTTTCCTTTCATATTTAGGTGAAGTCCGTGATTAGTATGTTGAGTTCTATCAGTGGGGAAATTAAAATACCTTACATGTTTATAGAAAAACTGAAGGCTATATAACCTCTTATTAAAGAGATTCACTTCAGAATTAACACATGAATAAGAAGGCAAATCATATCTGTGAGGGACTCCTAATAGTATAACATTTGTATTAATCATCCTTTGTACAAAAGTTTTTAAGGAATAGAATCCTTTTTTAGATTCATTCCTGCTGATATCTGTGCTTCCACGATAGAATATAAACCAGGTCATTTTTTGTAAAGTTTTCTCTTAAAAGATTTAAAGAAGATATGATTCCTTCAGTGTTAGCATTGGGTTTTGAGATACCAATTACACTAAAACACTCGTCAAGGTCACTAGACAGCTTGTCAGATAAGCCTTTAACATGGCTATCACCAATTATACAAATTTTGTGTTTACTATGAATTGATCTCTCTGTCATTTTGGAGCATGCATGAATTTGTGAGCTGTCAGCAACACTTTTGTCACTACCAAAATGCAGAAAAATAGTTTTAGTCATAATCCCAATAATGATAGTAATGAATTTTTGAACTTTGACACACATACATGTGCTCCAGTGCAAAATTTTCTAAGGGAAATACATAGTCTATTTGTGTTGTATAATTGACATCATTGTTAGAAGTTAGTGTGGTTTGCATATTGTTTACAAATTCTGCAGTGGAATGATAAATAAAGAACTTGTAAGGCATGTGAATGTATATTAGTGAGAGTAAAGAAATGTTCGGATTTCTGAAAGGCTGCTTTATATGCAGCAAATTGAAAGTTATAGTTAATATTGTTAACTTGTTTGTCAGAGTATTCAGGATATCTGTGAGCATTCAGAATGCTAAGTTGCAGAGAAAACAGTGGAAACTGTATGGTTTGCACTTTTCCAGTCTTGTTAATTTCAACGCTTCTAACCGTCGTCCTTATTTAACTCTCCTCATAGACATAGTATAACCATAAAATGGTACATAATGCACTGCAATGCATTCAGGATTTGTTTTCAAGGGCACTGCCAAGATGAAGGCTGATGGAGCAGGCACGAAGTCAGCTTTGAATTCTGAAGATCCATTATCTGATACAGGTACAATTTGTCTACCTAACTTCATTAAACTCATAAATATTTTATTTATTATCACTGAGTTGCTTTAGTTATTTTGCATCCTTACTTAAAGAGGAGTTGTCATAGTGTCATGTATATCCAGGGTAATGTGACTAATAATTGTGGATTCTGGATTTATTTGACGTCACTATCACAATTACATTCTGTTATAACAGTTCACACACTCAACTCCTCCTGGGTACCGAATCCCTCTGCATAGCTCTGCTTCATTCTCGAAAGTACGTTGAATAAACTGCCGAGTCACTTCTTCTTCTTCTGCTTTCTGTCATATTTTGGTCCATCTGACTTCAGTTCTGAACTGATGGCTTCTCAACTGGCCTTTTATCCCTGCTAGGCGGCTGGGCTAGGAATCACCTCCATGAAGAGTTCTGCTTTTCATATCTGTGGTAACAGTCTTTTTGGAAGTCGTTACCATGGGTATGTCTTCAGTAGTTTCATCAAAACCCAGAGTAATGGTGCATTTCATGTTACCATAGGAATGTGCTTGTGAAGCCCCGCCCAGCAGATGGGCAGGTTGAAGCTCTCAGGTCATGCATCACAGTAGTTTATACTCTTCAACAAATTTTGTTTCCAAAGATGACAGTGCTGTACATTTGAAATTTTTGCATAAAATTTAGCTTTATTTCAGAAACATATGAACCTTTTGGAAATTATTCTTATACTTGGGAAGTGATTGCTTCAATCAGGTGCCAATCTAATACAGGCAGAAAGATGTATATTTCTCTTCGTCTGTTGAATTAAAGTTGAATGTTGCGCTAATCAAAATATTATCAACTGATATATAATACATATGACCCTCATGCAGTGATATTTCACAGCCAGCAGGCTTGCCAGTGTCACCCAAACAGGAGGATGTCCCATAATTGCTAAAGTAACCATTATGGTTGAATGGAGGCTGAAATTGAATTATGCTTTGAGCAGTGTAAGTTGGTGGTGTGACTATAGATGAATGTCACAGTATTAGTATTAAAGTTTGATATTTGTTATGAAAATGTAGAATTTTTATGTGTATATTTTACTAGATTATTTGATATTTCAGGAAGTAGGATGCATGGATTGGAAATTGAAAGTGATGATGATGATGGTGATGGTGATGGTGATATGAGTAATCCTGCAGAAGTCTTCAGAATGTATAGTCTTCAGCATGAAGTTGCTGTAGCTAGACACAGAACTTATATTCTACACATGAATGCCAGTGTGTGAGTAACATTCTATTTACATTTATCTTCAGGAGACTTATTTTACTGGCGATATGGAATGGTGTGTCTTTTCTGCACCTTTTTCAATAAAAACCTATAGCAAGAAGTGCATCATGAGAGAAAATAGAGGAGGGTGACCTCTGGGAAAGCAGAGATAGACGTAAAAAATTAGTTGCTAGATGACACACATAAGGTGGAAATGTCAAAAGAAAAAAAAGTGATATATTGAACTTTTGCTACTGTATATTGATTTTTTCACTTATATATCTAGTACTGATGACCATAGAAGTCCAAGGGCCTAAGCTGTTTAAATTAAAAAAGAAACTCATGTATGCATGTATCTGGATTTGTGTGACTCAGACGCACATGAGTTGGGGACTTAACTGCATATGGTAAGGCTAGCAAGAACATACAGCACACTGAAACATGTCTGTAATAGAATACATTTTAAATGGAAAATGGGCTATTGTGGAAGATCATAAAACCACAATATTTTAATAACATCAACACAGAGGAATTTCCTGTTGTTTAGAAATGTAACAAAAAGGCGTGGATGACTTCCTCATGTCATTACTTAATGCACATCTCATTTCTGTCAGCATTCATGGAGTATAAAATTGCTCTCTGCCCTCGATTTGTCATGATAAAAAATTTCTTGCCTCCTTTTCCCACTGATCTTTACTGGAGACCTGCATTGCCCAATTTATGGTGCATGTGCACACAATGAGAAACAGTCGTTTGCTTTGGAACCTCAAGAACTCTGATTAAAGAAATGATACAGTGTTGCCATTCTGTTTTTTGTTTTAGTACTGAGAGAAATGTCAACTGGTGGCACAGTTTACTTTCTTGATCATATTTTGAATGTCTTGTTGAAGCTGTACATACCAATCTTGTGTGAAGTTCTGGTTCTGCAGTAAAATAAAATTGATTACATCTACACATGTGGCAAAGTCGTAAAAAATTAATCTAACATACAAGAGGAAAGAGGCTTCTTATTATCATAGATAGTAGAGGAAATGTTTATGTTGACAGTATGCATAATTAATGACTGGAATGTTTTCTCTTTGCCACTGTATCCTGACTGGCTTTATGGACCACGCAACCTCCTGCCTCTTATGCACTTTGTACTATGTGTTCTTTCCCTGAGGATGAAGTGGCCAGGCTGCGAAGCTAACCAATCATATGAATCTGGTGCAGAGTTGTGTTATTCCATTTTAAGGGTGTGTGTCTGCTCCCCCACGTAACTTTATGGAGTGTGCTTACAATAAGCTTAGAAATACACCTTCATGGTGTGGTGCCTAATTAAGCTCGGGGAAATTTTTACATTTATGTGTCTGGTTAATTACTTCAGTAATATAAAATGAACCTGTACACTTCAGTTATGTGCCCCATTTTCAGTGTACTGTATCTTTTCTTGGGTGCTTCTTGTAACATTTCCAAATTTGTTTTAAAGAAGCTACACTCTTTCTGTTACATGTAGTTTCCGTTTGTTCATAGGCTCTATAAACTGCTTGCTTCTCATTACAACACTTTATTACATTACAGATTATTTCGCTTTCTCTGCTGTGAAGTAGTTTGGACTCCTGCATGGTGGTGTTTGCTCTAGTGCTCCCATCATTACTCATTGCAAACCAGTACACAGTGCCAGGCTTATCTCTAATCTGTGCTATAGCACAGTTACTGTTTGATGGCACAGACCTGCACAAAGGAAGGGAAGTGATGGGGAAAGAGGACAGTGGAGTGAATTAACCCATTACTGGTTACCATTTGCCAGCAGTGAACTGAAATGTCCACCCCTCATATCTGCTGTAAGAGAATATGGACTTATCTGTTCTGAACACACACAGAAATTGTTTTCTGTGTATTTATCATTATGCTGTGATTGAGTTCCACCAAGTACATTTTCTTTGTTACTTCGTGGTGACGGGGGGGGCGTGGAGGTATCCCACTGCTGCCACCATTGTTACGCCGTGGTGACATGGGGCGTGGAGGTATCCCACAGCTGTCACCATATGTTATGGCGCGAAGGGGGCGTGGAGGATTCGCTCCACCTCTTCCGCCATCCATGCCGTTGCGCCCTTGGGGAATGGCCAGTTGTAAGGCTAAGCACATGGTACTTGACTCGTTAACTACCTCTTGGCAGTGAGTTCACAGTCCCGATAACACAGGGAGGTACGGGAGAACGGGGAAATAGAGGGTGTGACTGGGGGTAAGTCATTAACACCACACATCCCCTTCACTCGGTCTACTCTTGTCTACTACTATATACACTTTATACATATCACTTTCATGGCCAACAGTGGCCAGTTACGCACACATTGTAATTTGGATAACGTTGCACTTGGGTTCACCATCCCTAGCCTTTGAGGTACTTCCTACGTCCCAACTCAGGGCCTACCCTCTCTGCCCTAACACTTTAATAATATCTCACTGTATATCCATGACTGATATGAACAGTTCGACTTACTTGGTGTAGGAAGCTGATGGTGTCCCCCCCCTCGGTCTGGCACGACCGTAGCTCGGGTCCTCTGGCCTGTGGTTTGCTATTCACTTGACATTATACACTCAGATAGATTGACAGATTGAATGGATATTCAATCGGTGATCAAAAGATGTGATCCAAAGATATGATGCCAAAGATTCCATGATCGATTCAATAATAGACGCAATGATCGATGCAATGAAAGATTCGATGATAGATCATCTCCCAGTTGCGTCCGAAACTTTATAACCTTCCCCCTGCTGACTAATGTCTTTGGGGTAAGCTCTGCCCCTCCACTAGAGCGAATTTGCCCCAAAGGTCCATCTCCCATTGGTCAGCTGGGTAAAGGGGGTTGGATCTCAGGCAGCCCCGCTGAGTCGGCATTGTGTACGCCTTGGCCGTACAGCCATTTTCAGTCTCTTCTGCGTGAATCAGCGGTCTAAGCAATGCGACAGTTTTCTGCTGACGTCGCTCTTCCACATTTTTACTTCAAACATTACCCTCCGTCTAACTTCTCTACTGGGAACCCAAGATAACTTAATACCTGAAAGTTACAAAAACCCTTGCCGAAATTCTACGGCATTACATCCCCCACCGCAAAACTTGGAATATTCTTCCTGTTAAGGAGGGATATTACACTTGTTTTCTCTCCTTGAAACACAAAAACAAAACATGTACCCTCTTACATCAATGTTACATACATAATTTAAATATAAGTTCTTGATTGTCACTTCTTTTGTGTCTTTCACTCCGTCCGTTTTATCACTAGAACACCTTGGTCTGAAAGTGTTCTACGTTCACTGCTTTGCTGGCGTCTTTAGGCTGCCATCTCTGGGCTGGTCCTCCCACTGGGCTCTGGGTGCTCAAAAGGTGAGAACCGCCTCCTGATGTCTCAACAGCCACACGCCAATTCTGCAACCGTTGTTAGGGAACCGGTCATTGGCTCTGCCTGCTGCCGTCCTTGGGTTCTACCCTTGCAAGTTTCGCTACTCACACAGTCATGGATTTTTCCTAACTGTTTCCTAGTACTGACCTATTTTCTACTCATACTTCCCGAATACCCAAAGTGTAACCCTGATTGGTTCACAATTTAACTCCTCCAACCAGTTGCCTAACCCTTCTAGCTGTCGGTGTCATTTTCCACACTCTTATTACCCATTCCTCCTGTTTGGGGGAGGGGGGGGGTACTGCTACTCTTTCCTAACCTTGATTCATGTGTGGGTAAGGTTACGGGTTGGAAATCTTGTAGGTCCATCCCTTCGGTTCTCTCAGTGATTGGGTACAAGGCGTACTGCCTCACTCATGGCCAACCAGTACTCTCGGGGGGTGCACAAACAACTGCACGCTCTCTGAGTTTCAAGGCTGTTAAACCCATGTAGCCTTGGTCCAACTGTCTTAATTATCCTTCCACAAAATTTTGAACATCTCGTGTGAAGGGTATCAAACTAGGGGTCTTCTGGTATGTTGTTACCAGGCCTACTGAAACCAAACTTCCTAATTTGTACAATGTTTCTATTACTAAGCCCTTCTTATAACGCCTACTTGTGAAATTTACGCGTGTTTCCACTTCCGCCCATCTTTATTCTTTGTAGCTTCGTTGGCTCCAGGACCATAGTGAATATCCATGTCACGTCTCACTGGACACGTTTGGCTCCGTGGCGCATAATGCTGGTGAGTCCTCACTCACTCTTTCGGTTTCTTTGTCGGCGAACCCAATACTGTTGATCTCGCAGTTTGTTTCATTTGCACGCTGGCTCTCGTGCGGTGAATACCAGTAGCATGATTCCTCTGTGTCGCTTTCCGATGCTGTGTCATTGGAGTCTGGAGTATTGCTTCTTGCAGTTAGGGGTTTCTGCTCCCTCATTCTGTGTCTGTTTTGTCTTCTCTCTCTCTCTCTCTCAACTCCTTTCTTGACGCTCTACACATTTTGATCTGTTCGACGTGGAGGTTTACCTCCTTGTGTCCGATTTGTACTCTGTAGACCAGATCCGAGATCTTTCTCACTATTGTGTATGGTCCCAGCCATTTTGGTTCAAGCTTCCTGCCCTTGACCATCTGCTTGCGGTACACAAGCTGTCCTGGGCGGTATTCGATTCTCCATGCTCGCCTGTCTTGGCGAGTCTGCTGGTCTCTCCTTGCTCTTTCCAGCTGCTTCCTGGCTAACTTGTGGGCTTCCCGTAGTCTAGCGGCCAATCTTTTTACTGCTTCTACTGCCGGTCCCAGTAACTTTGGTACGCTTGCATTTTGTTCCCTTGCTTTGGGGTCCATTTGTCAGGGGTACCTGTTGGTCTTCATCACATTCGGTCGAACGGTAGCGTCATTCTTCGTGACGTCATCTATGTTGTCTGTTTCCTTGACGTCAGAGACATCAGCGATTTTTGTCCCCGCTTGCAACGTAACACTTTCTCTGGTGTTAATCAGCTGGGCAGTGCAGTAGGTCGTGTCGTTTGCACTTTGCTCCTCGCTGACGTTGCGTTCTTGCGTCTTGTGAGTGCGATGTTTTATCAACGCTGTACTCGTCGGTGGCAACACTACTTGTCATTGGTGGAGTCTTTCCACCTGCCCTTCTCCCGTTGACGATTCTGTATCGCTGGGTTTGGCGGAGGCCTCCTTTACCTCGCCTTCCACTAGTCCTCTTGACTCTGTGGTTTTCCGTGTAGCCGTCCTTGCTTCCTCTTTCACGTTTTCCTGAGGTCGCGACTCCGTCCTTCTAACCGTTGACTTCTGAATATTCTCCTTCCTCCTTCCTGTCAGAGGGTACGTCAGCTTGACTGTCTGGCTGTCCAGGTTTATCTCTCCTGCGGCTATGTCAATGTGGGTGCCTAGCCCTCTCAATAAATCTGGCCCAAAAATTCCGTCTTTCTGGATTGGAAAGGGCGCTACCACAAAATCGTGGGTGTACTGCTTGTCCCCAATGATGAATTCTATCCACCTGGTTCCTTCAGTCTCCAAGTCCTGTCTGGTTATGCCCCTAATCGCTTCCTTAATTTCCCTCCTGTGTTCATCCCCCACATATGGTTGAACTAGACACACGTCTTCTCTGGTGTGAATAATAAACTCGTAATCTGTCCCTTGGACATTTACCTCAATACGTAATTCTCTGTTCTCTCGCGCTGTGGCGAGTGGTATCCAGGTGGCTGTATTCCGACGGTTGATGGGGCGTTCTTCTGTTGAAACTAGTTTGGGGAGTGATTTCCCGTCTCTGTTGTTGGCTTCTTTCTTGCCTCACAGCTTCGGGCTATATGACCCTGTTGTCCACATGAGAAGCATGTAATCGGGGATCGAACCTGACCTTTACTCCTCTCCCGTGGTTCCTGTGGTTGTGTCGGTGGCCCTCTTGGCTGACCGTTCTGATGCCATGGTTGCTTGTATTGGTTCTGCTTTGTGGAGTCCTTTCTGCCCGTTTCCACTACTAGTGTGTCGTGGTTCCTGGGATGCTGCTCCATTCGCTTTGCGTTGTGCACCATTGTGGCTATGCTCAGTGCTTGTTCCACCGTTTCGGGGTTGCGGATTCTTAACTCCCTGCTTCCCCTCGCATTCCGTAGATAAAGCTCGTCAGGAGCCTGAAATCTGCCTCTTCCTTCCGAATGCGTTCCGTTGGATCGGCGCTCTTCCTAATAGTTTTTTGACTCAGTGCTCGGCAACAGTCCAAAACTGTATAGGGGTCTCTTCCTTCCCCTGAGTAGCCTCGTGCAGCAGGTTATAGTAATACCTTGCTGGCAACTTTTCAGTAAACCTGTCTACGAGGGTTGCTTTCAGCACCTCATAGCTCACTCTCCCGTCTGTGAGCTCATCTTTTCCATTCACAAATTGAAGAGCCTTCCCGGTTAACTTGGCTTTCAAAATGTTAACCAGGTCTTCCGTACTCCAATTGCTGACATGGGCGCAGTGTTCTAACTGTGTTAGAAATTCCGTCACTGGCTTTGCCTTCGAATGGCCACTCCATTCCTTTATACTTGCTGCTAACGATAGGTCCTTCGTTTTCACTCCTATCGTCAGTCTTCTTAATTGTTCTTCAAGTTGAACTATTCTAGCCTCCATTATCTTGTTTAATGTTATCCCCTTTTGTTACCTAAAACTACTAGTTTGACACCACCTCTCTCCTGAATCGTAGTTCGTTTAATTGCAAAGCTGCCACCATTGTTACTCCGTGGTGACAGGGGGGCGTGGAGGTATCCCACCGCTGCCACCATTGTTACGCTGTGGTGACATGGGGCGTGGAGGTATCCCACCACTGTCAGCATATGTCATGGCGCGAAGGGGGCGTGGAGGATTCGCTCCACTTCTTCCGCCATCTATGCCGTTGCGCCCTTGGGGAATGGCCAGTTGCAAGGCTAAGCACTTGGTACCTGAGTCGTTAACTACCTCTTGGCAGTGAGTTCACAGTCCTGATAACACAGGGAGGTATGGGAGAATGGGGAAATAAAGGGTGTGACTGGGGTTAAGTCATTAACACCACACATCCCCTTCACTCGGTCTACTCTCGTCTACTACTATATACACTTTATACATATCACTTTCATGGCCGACAGTGGCCGTTTACGCACATTGTAATTTGGATAACGATGCACTTGGGTTCACCATCCCTAGCCTTCGAGGTACTTCCTACATCCCCACTCAGGGCCTACTCTCTCTGCCCTAACACTTTAATAATATCTCACTGTATATCCATGACTGATATGAACAGTTCAACTTACTTGGTGTAGGAAGCTGATGGTGTCCCCCCCCCTCGGTCTGGCACGACCGTAGCTCGGGTCCTCTGGCCTGTGGTTTGCTATTCACTTGACATTATACACTCAGATAGATTGACAGATTGAATGGATATTCAATCGGTGATCAAAAGATGTGTTCCAAAGATATGATGCCAAAGATTCCATGATCGATTCAATAATAGACGCAATGATCGATGCAATGAAAGATTCGATGATAGATCCTCTCCCAGTTGCATCCGAAACTTTATAAGCTTCCCCCTGCTGACTAATGTCTTTGGGGTAAGCTCCGCCCCTCCACTAGAGCGAATTTGCCCCAAAGGTCCGTCTCCCGTTGGTCAGCTGGGTAAAGAGGGTTGGATCTCCTCAGGCAGTCCCGCTGAGTCGGCATTGTGTACGCCTTGGCTGTACAGCCGTTTTCAGTCTCTTCCGCGTGAATCAGTGGTCTAAGCAATGCGACAGTTTTCTGCTGACATCGCTCTTCCGCATTTTTACTTCAAACATTACCCTCCGTCTAACTTCTCCACAGGGAACCCCAGATAACTTAATACCTAAAAGTTACAAAAACCCTTGCCGAAATTCTACGTCATTACATCCTTAATAAACTACTTAGATCAAAGCCAAATTGAGGAAGGAACGTCTAGCATGTATTTGGGAGAAATAAGAGATGTAGGTAAAGTTGTCCCTGTTCTTAATTCATTGAGCACTGTGCCATGAAGACATATGGGGGAGTGGAGGTATAGCTCCACCATTCTTGACCTCAGCACTAGGTGGAGGTGAATGGTAAGGTTCATGCCTTGGCCTCTTTACCCTCAGAGAAATCCCCCCATCCAGCACCCATTGGGTAGGAGGCTAGGTGGACTTGAGAGCTGGTCCGGATGCTCTTCAGAAGAGAAAGAAAATCTTGTCATGCCAGGGAACACACTTGGGTCATCCAGCCTACAGCCCATCACTGTACCTACTGATCTACCCGAAATCCTTGGGACATAAGATACAGGTAAAGATAAAGTTATGCCTGTGTTTAATTAATTAAGCACCACACCATGGAGACGTGTGGGGAGTGGACATATGGTTCCACCATACCTTGGCACTAGATGGAATTAAGTGGCCAGCTTCACACACTGGCTGCTTTATTCCCAGAGAAAGAGTCTCTGGTACCCATTGGATAGGAGGTTGGGTGAGCCCCAGAGCCTATCGGGAGACTGAGGAGAAGAGAAAATTCTTTTGTCCATGCCAGGTATTGACCCTGGCCATCTAGCCTGCATCCTGTCACTATACCAGCTGAGCTATTCTGGAAGAGTTCAAACAAGGTGTAACGGCATTGAAACATGGAATATGGTTGTGAAGGTTTCAGAGAAATTTGCTTTAGTTGAATATGTTGATGTGTAATAAATCAGCAGAAGAGAATAATATATTTAACTCTGTAGCACAGATGAGAGAAACGGGACTGGCATAGTGGCATTAGGAATATGAGGTCAAGAGAGTGTAGATGGCTGTTCCATGCATGGGAACTGGAAGATAGAAAATATTATTGTAGGATGCAACAAAAATGAATTGGAGAACAAATTTGAAGTGTAAGCAGTGGTTAAGATTTCATAATAAGATTGTTTACAAAGTTTGTGATAATAATAGTCATTTGCTTAAGGATGTTGGGTAATATCTGTCTAAAGTGAAAAGTAAGTGGTAGAGATATGTAGATAAAAATAATGTTACCAGTAAGGAGGGGGTGTGCAGTACAGTTAAATCATTGGCCTGAATTTGTAATGTTAGCTAATATATACTTGTATAATAATATTTTATTTAATGAGAGCCATGTGACTAGGAGTCTTGTGGGAAGAACAACCATATAACATGTAGACAACTCAGAAAACATTACAATAATGCATAATTCATTAGTGCATACTATGGCTTTCAGTTTGGTTATTTTTTCTACACTGCACACTACATGGACCTATGATTTCTGCAATTGTTTCACTAATTTTTGTTTTCCATTCTCAGCACATCAAATCCAAGAGTGGCTGTTGCACTGTCTGACCAGTCATGTGCCATTTATGATGTTACTCAGCTCTCCAAAGTGGAAACGTTATGTGGACACAAGGGAACAGTAGTGAATGTCAGGTAAAGGTATTGGCACAAGTAAGGCTAAGTCTTCCCAATTTATTTGATTTTCAAGTATGGTTGTGCCCTGGATAAACCAAGAAGACTTGAGGGAGAATAAAGAATATTTTTGTGGTCCCCCCATATATATACAATGGAACCTCGCTTAGTGAGCACCTCTCATAACAAGTAATTCACATAATGAGCAAAACAAATTGTAAAAAAATGACTCACTTAACGAGCGACGTTTCGCATAATGAGTGACGAGAGGGGAAGTCCCGGATTGTGCGCTTGCTACATCAGTCTGTGTTTAGCACTCATTCTGCTAGCATCTTAGTGTCGCATGTGATAACACGTTTTGCCAAACTTGTGTTCAGACATATTATTTGTGATTCCTTTTTTTTTCAAAGTTTAATAACCCTTGTAAAAATGTCCCCGAGGAGAAAGCCACAAAAAGACAGCCACTGAAGAGCTTGTGGAGTTGCATTGTGTTTCACAGCAAGAAGTTGTGGATGTGAGTTTGTCAGAGGAGGAGGAGGTAACAGCAAAGCAACAATCTTCTGGCGCAATAAGAGAAATGCTGAAAGCATGGGAAACTGTTGCATCGTACATTGAGAAGCATCATCCTAATAAGGCAGTGGTTATGCGCACTACAAATTTATTTAATGATAATGCTGTGTCACATTTTCAGCAAAGTTTGAAGCGTCTGCAAAAACAAATGTCTAGACAGCTTTCTAGTAAAAAAGAATTAGATGTGTACCATAAGTAATAAACTAATTATTTCAATTTTTTTTTTTGTTTTCTGCAAATCAAGTTCGCATTCCAAGTCGGTTCATTCCACATAGAAGAAAAGATGAAGATGATTCATGCTCCTTAACCCGTTGCCGTGGTTCGTCGTGTATGTTTCGTCAGGGATTTAAATCGTCTGGGGGGGTTCGACGTGTATGTTTCGTTCAGCTGCACACCTATGTTATAACGCCCATAATAATTGATGGTTTTGCTGTAGATTGTTAGATTTTTCGCTGGCCTGTTGTCAGTAGAACAGAGTATAAATAAGACACGACTTTATCTGCGCCAAGTCATCGTTACATATGCCTGTCTTGCAGCAAAGTTCCTGTGG